TCACATAGTTCATTTCTCCAGAATATATTTCACTTATCAAACTACTCCCTCGATAAAATAATTATCAATATGTAGTTTTGTCGAAAAAGTCGTCCCACATACAAGTTAGTGCTGAAGCGTTAATAGAGATTTGTATGAAAGAGAACAGTCACATATTTTAAAATTAAGTAAATGTAAATAAAATTTCTTCCAGTTTATATTATAAAAAAGATATTCAAAAAGCACTAATTGAAAGGAAAATTAAGAGATTTTTAATTTGCGCATACCCAAACTAGTCGTTCGATAAAAAGTAATCAATACGTAGCTTTATCGAAGCAGTCCTCCCACATATATGTATGTGCTGGAGTGTTAATTGAGATTTGTATGAAAAAGAACAGTCACATATTAATTAAATGTAAATAAAAAATTTCTCCAGTTTGTTTTTTTTTAAATAAAGATATTCAAGGCAGTAATTGAAAGGAAAATTTAAGGATTTTTTTGCGTATACCCCTAGTCGTTTGATAAAAAAAATATCAACACATAACTTTCTCGAAAGTGTCCTTCGAGATTATTCCTTGATTTGGATGAAAGAGAAGTTGTCATGCATTTGTTAAATTTGAATTAAGTATTTCATTCAGTCTTTTCTTAAATAAAACACCATATAAAAGAATTTAATGTTTATAATCATATTCTTCATTTTATTCCAACAAAATGACTACGTTTATTTTGATTGAGTAACTTGCTAGGCATCACGATGTTTTACACTGCATTGCAGCAGAGTGCAGTATGGTGTAGCTCTATTTGTATTTCAACATGCACAAATATTTTCTAGTCAAAACTTTATAAACATTCCCCACCATCCACCCTCCAAAGTTACCCTTTATATACAATTTTCTCTCGCGGCTGATTCTAAGTTGCAGAATTTGCATAACGTCAGTTTCTTACAAAGTTAGATAATCAAATTATGCCCCTTTGAACAACGTAGACAAAACGATTATGCAAATCGATAAAAAAATATCAATGTGATAGATTGATAGTATACTGTTTAACGTCCCTCTCCAGAATATTTCACTGATATGGAGACGTCACCATTGCCGTTGAAGGGCTGCAAATTTAGGCCTATGCTCGGCATTTACGGCCTTTGAGCATGGAGGAATCTTTATCGTGCCACACCTGCTGTGACACGGGGCCTCGGTTTATACAGTCTCATCCGAAGGACCGCCCCATTTAATCGCCTTTTACGACGTACAAGCAAGGGGTTACTGAGGACCTATTCTAACCCGGATCCCCACAGGGCAAATATCAATGTGAGTTTATCTCATAAGAGGGAACTTTTAAAATGTATGCTTCTTCCAGCTGCTTGTCCGTGTCTTTGAGACCAATATTTTTTTAAATGTGAAAGTCATATAAAACTTGAAAAACACGACATCTTCGGGAAATTTATAGATAAGTATATAATCGAGGATCGTTAATTCCAGTCATATTTTGTATTGCTGCTTCTGAATATCCCGGTGAATATTGTGTTTTGTTTTAAAGTGAAAGAGAATACATGTAAGTGAATTGATGGATTTATTTTTTCACATGCACCAGGACTCCCAGGTGATGAACATCACATTTTTCTACTACATTAGATTAAGAAGCAAATTCAAAGAATTGTTGTCCCCCGCTTTCGGTAGATGGGAAGCCATTGTGTCAAATATGAATGCCCTATCATATGCCATTCAAATGTAATAACCAAAGTAACTTATTTATTAGGTCGAACAAAGGTAAAAGTGAAGATCTAAAGAATCATTTCACTATCCGAAAAATCTTATCACAGGTAATAATAAGTCGGATATGAAAGCACTATTCCTTAAATTCTCAGTCAAAAGTTACAAGGTGAGATAACATCTTTGAAAAGTAGGTCAACGGCAAAGGCAAGTTCCCGAGATATAAAATATATCTAGCATATTTAGAAAGGTCTTACTACGTGCACAGGCAATACATGTTTACATTATTAACATGAAAGCCCTATCTTTCCTATTTCAAAAGTAATGAACATTTTAGAAAAGTATGTCAAAATTAAAGGTCAAGGTCACAGGGTCAAGATCATAGTATATTTAGAAACATCTTACCATAGGTAACATACATGTTTAATATAAAAGCCATATCTCTTCTCAATCGAAAGTTGTGACCAAGGTTAAAGTTTTTGCGACAGACACACAGACTGACAGACGAATATAGGATTTATAATGACCCCTCGCGAAAATTTGTATTACACGATCAATATGTATCTGATATAAAAAGGAGAGAGACAGATAGTCTTCAAATCAAACAAGAATTCTGCATCAACATTTCACAAAAGAAGCATGTGTTATTTTTCGCTGATAAGCATCTTTTTGGTAGTTTGAGTTACTCCCCTTAGGCCTATAACAGTTTCCTTTTGGCTCGGCGGCTGACTCACAATAAGCACGTGCAGATGGTGCACATGGTGCGCAGCGATCGTCCGTGGTCATGGCTCTCGTTTCATGGAAGGTGATGAGGTAAATCAACAAATTAAAAATAATAAGTAAATAATTAGGCCTGCTGTACAGATGCATGTATTAAGTTACTTAAACGGATTTGCAACAGTTGGTGAAGGCGAAGCACCAATCTGTCTTTTTTGACCACCTAATTGGCCCAAACGTTATATACAATGACATGTACAATGAATGTGTGAGTCTTCTGAATGTCAAGAAAAGTTGCAGTATACATTTAAGCAATTCAGACAGGTCAGTATTAATTTGAGCAACCTACAGATGTAGGGTCATTCAAAGTGCTTCCACCATAAATTCAAAAACGTTATTCTTATCCCCCCTCCACAAAAAAGCCGCCATACACACAAAGTAAAGGGGGAAAACACAAAAAATAAGCATCATTCTAAAATTTCTCATCTTCTGAGAATTCTCGCAAATTGTAACAAAGTTAACCTATTACTTCATTGAAACAAAAACGTTTTGGGTACCATGCCCACTTTTAACAAAAAAGAGATGCCAATTCTAAAAGAGTAATTTGGATTTCAAGGTTTTGTATTTATTAACTTTAATGGGTTTTTTTCATAATCAATCTGTACATGATGCTAATTTTAGAAAAAAACTTGGAATATGGCCTAATTTATAAAAAACACAGAACATGGAGATTAGGTAATGCAGACAAACATGTCCTTCCATTTAGGAGTAATAATCTGCAAAAAACATTTTTGTACTCCTTAGTTTTGTAAGTGGCAATATACTCAGGATATTGTCCAGGTGTGGATCTAGAAATTTTTCTAAGGGGGGGGGGGGTGAAGAGGAAAAGAGTTATTACATATATAACATTCATTGTACATGTACATGTAGTTAAATACCTCGATAGGATACAGGGTGGAGTATGTTTTTTTTTTTTTTATAGCGGGAGGTTGATCAATGTGGAAAAAAAAACTTGTACACTAATATACCTCACATAGTTTTGGAGCTATTGTCCAAATATTTTTTTTGGATATGCTGACCTTTGGGGAAACTTTAAAGGTGCATGGACACAGATTCGAAGTTAATATTTTCTGCATAACATCCCGACTATTTTAATAGCATTTCACACAAATCTATATTAAAAATTTCACACAAATCTATATTAAAAATTTTATTTCATCTTAAAGTTCTTGAAACTTCAAATTTTTGGATGGGTTTGATTGACACATCCTTGCACTCTCACAAATTTTACTTTTATTCTTAATACATTAGAAAAGTGGCAATCTTGTTGTGTGTTAATGAAAAATATTAAAACTTTAATCCAGAAAAATAATTATATTCAGAGTAGAAATGTTAGAAAGCAAAACCCCTTCACAAACTTATCGTCATTCCGCGCTAAGTGTTGTGTACAGAGTTTAACAAATTGATCACACCCATGATACGTACCCAGCTTTTGTAAAAAGCTAGGGCACGAGCTCTGTTATTGTTGATAATTTTTTCGACTTTATTTTTTGATTGTTTATAACTAGATTAACAAAAACTGACACTATTAGTATATCGTTTTGGCTTTCTTTCGTTTCTTTGCTTATTTTACCTGATTATAGGTTTGAGTTTAAAAAGTGAATATAATGAAAAATAAAAAAAAAAAAATGAAAACTAGGATTTCTTTAATTTTTCAAATAAAAAATATTAGTTCTTGAAGGTGCAAATATTTTGACAATCAAGATCGCACTAAATTCGTATTTTTTTTTTTTTTAAATTTTCAGATTTAAAAAAAAAGATTTTAGAAGTTTTTTTTCAAATGCATGTTTATCAGACTGAAAATGCATTGGTAACATGTACATATAAGCCATGACATTCTCCACAAAAATTTGATTTAATATAAACCTTAAATCTGTGTTATTGTTCCATATCCTCCTAGACCTTCCTTTTAAAAAAAATTGTCTTGTCTGCTTCAATTTTTTAAAAACAATTTTAAATTGAACCAGACAAGACAAGACAAAAAAAAACACAACTCCTGATTTATTTACATGTACATATACGAGTATATAATCGAGGTTGCTGATGTTGTAGATTGGTTTGGGTCCTGCGTATGCTTTTCACAACTGAAAGACCTTAAAAACAAATATGTTTAATAGTTTGTGTACTGCTCTATAAAAAATCAATGTGGCCGTGACATATGTTGAATCAATTCATTAAGAAAATTATCACTTTTATTGTAAGCTTTATTTCAATGTATAAGTGATATGTACATCTTCAAAAGATATAACATGCAGTTATGTCCAAAACATTTTTATTACGTATATAGTGCTTCCCTAAGCGCAATAAAATCGGTTGTCTACGATCCTTATGTACAACTGATAACATTATAAACATGGATCCTCGCAATGCCAGGGGTCCTCAGTCAACACGTTGCCTTTGGACCAACGGCAACGTGCTGACTCATGACCCCTGGCACTGCGAGGATGATTAAGATGATATAAGATGCAGAGTTTATAAACAATATTAAACATCATTTTTGGATATTGGTCTATCAAATGAACATTTAAAAACTGATATCATCACGGGAATGGGGGTGAATAAGTACAGTCATTAAACATTTAATTTTAGCTGCACCAGTTCACCATATATATTTTATTCACCTTTCTTGACCACGAAAGCTTGTTGGATTTTTGCGACGGTTCAGAAGAGCATATTTGCTGGGCGTTTATATTTACTTATTAAACTGGTAAGTAATTTAAATGATCTTTACATTTTATAATTCATTCTTCTCAATTTAAACTCCAAATATGTATTGTTTTACTTAAAATATACTTATTCTGAAGTTTATGGAAGTGATTTCTCCCGCTCAAACAAATATCGACCCAAAGAATAAGGAAGGCAAAACATGACACTAATCGATTCTATGAAAAATGTATACTATTAGTTATGTAGACACTTAGAGGGGTAATACGGAAATATGTGGGGTCCGTGAAAAAAATCCATATTGGGCGAGGCGTAAGCCGAGCCCAATATGCATTTTTTCACACCCTGTATGAATCCGTATTACCCCTCTAAGTGTCTACATAACGAATTTATCCTGCCGATGGTTCACTAAAAGATTAAATATTGATAGTATCAATAAACCGCATTCACTGAACGTCCAAGCAAGACGTTCTACATCCATTGTACGTTGTCGTCAGACGCATTGTGACGTCAGTTATGAAGCTCCATGCGGGTCACGTGAAAGCAGTATATTGATGATGTGTGGTTGGTAAATTTTTAATATATGATGGGTAGGTCACGTGGAGGGGGCACATTAGCAATGTGAGGTGGGTAGACAGCATAACATCGTTTCATGCAGTATTGCTCTCGGCCAATGAAATTTCACGCTTTTTATCAGAGGCAGGATAAATATGTATGTGAGGCAGTTTGAAAGGGGGTGCATTTGGTGCAATCGATATGTCATATAAATTTTGTTTAAAATGTCGGTCGACAGTAGCATTTTCAACGTAATTAGTATCGAAAGAACGTTTTTTATTTTTTTTTAACAAGACTTAAAAAGTTTATGAAGTTTCAAAAAGTTTGATAAAGTATCAACTGAATCAACAGTCATTTAAATGATGCAGTACAATGCACCAGAATTGATGAACACGTAGTCCAAAACCCTTAAAGTAATTTAATGTGAATCATATCTCCATGTCCATTTAAATAAAAAAAAAATATTAAATTGTACATCATATTCTAGAGAAAGAACTTTGTAAATTGCTTTCTAATCTAGCAGAGACACATATAAAATTTTATATATCTTTGCAAATACCAAAAAAGTAGCATCGACACTCGCATTAGGTCATAAAAATTTGATTGATTAATGATGTATTGTTTAACGTCCCCCTCGAGAATTTTTCACTCATATTGAGACGCCACCACTTGGAGAGCTGCAAATTTTATCCTATATTCGGCACTCAGTGCCATTGAGCAGGGAAGAATCTTTTTCGTGTCCGCACCTACTGCGACAGGGAACCTTATACGGTCTCATCGGAAAAACCGGTCTCAACGTCCCACAGTGGGATTCGAACCCGCGGCAAAAATTATGAACTCCTTACGCTCTAACCACTGCGCCACGTGGGCGTCCATAAAAATTTGAAAAAAAACTCATTAAGAAAGAAATTTAAAATGTAAAACGTGTAAAAACAATTTTTAACTTTTCAAGAAAAATGCGTATACGCAAGAACTGTTTAGGATGTATTGACAAGAGTGTCTTAGTCTAAAGTGATATTGATATTCGTTATATGTCGCTGTAGTCGAAGATAGGGGCAATTTTGACCTGTCCGTATGTTTGATTTTATGCTTATCAACAGGTCTGTTTGTCAAAAAAAAAACCTTTAACCTTGCCCTATAACTTTTGAATGGTTTGAGCTAGGACTTTCATATTTAACACGAAGGTATATTTCGTAAGACACGTTATTTCTATGAGTATCAATATATTTGACCTATTGACCTTGCAGTTTGACACACTTGAAAAATTTACAATTCAATTGAAATCAATTTACATTTTACCAAACTGAAGCCTTACTTATAACTTTTGAACGGTTGACAGTAGATAAATTTCTTCTTATATTTTTAAATTTCATTGAACTTTTTTAAAGATGCTTTCTATTCTCCACTGCAGGGCCCTTGTTGTCTGGTCAATTTTATATTCTGAATTTAGTTTTCAGTACTTACAAGTAGTTTCTGCGATTGTCGATAACTAAAATGTTCTATTAATAATAATAAAGAAATGATCCAGATTAATCTTTTAAAAATACTAATTTTCTTATTTCAGTTACAATGCCTACAGGGATATCTGACCTACCAGATGAACTTCTTGTGATAATATTTTCCTTTCTGTCATTTTATGACATCGTAAAGAACGTTAAAGCTGTGTGTACTCACTGGCGAGATTTGGGTGACCGGAAATGTTTTTGGAATACACGTGGACTTTTGAAATGGGTGAAAGAGGCCAAAGACGAACAAGGATACATACAGCGTGTCCGCGTGATAGCAAGACACATTAATGAATTGAAGTACTCAGATATAAACGGAGAGGAACCTGATGAATATCTTGCCTCAAACATTGAAAAGTTTTATTTGAAAAGGTTCTGTGACCCATCGCCATTTCAGTCGAAGCATATCATGGATATGTATGAAGAATATAACGGACCTCTCTTATTTCTCAGAGAAGACATTCTCTGTCCGAATTTGAAAGCGATTTATACTGTTGATACAAATTTATCTCCGACCTGTTTCCGTAAACTGCTTGAAAAATATCCACATGTAACAATTATTTTCTGGGCTAGGAGCCTTTTCTCAGAACTCTGTTCTTATTTGCCTCCAATACGACCTTTACCGAAGCTGGTAAAACTAACAGTCGTCGAAGATCAGAATACGGATGACTTTCCAAGGTTTGAAGATTCCAATATTGTTTGGAACCGACAAAACAGGGATGTTGAATTGCAGGATTTGGTGAGCGAACATCCCGAGTTAGAAAGTTTAAACGCTTCTGTGCGGAGAACAAGTGGGCGCACAATTAATACAATATTTGAGAAGTGTCAAAACTTACGGATCTTAAAAATAAGTGCTTGTAAAACGCACGGAACAGACGAATTAGATCTCAAATCGTCATTGCCGATGCTTGAAGAATTGTCTTTAGATAGTTTTGACAGGGATACAAATGAAATGAAAAACTTATTTGTCGCAGCATGTTCAAGCAAGAAGTTAAAAAAGCTTACTCTTTTGGATTGTGAGAACATCACAGAGGAGATTTACGAGTACATAGGCAAAAATTGCCCTCTTTTGAACAAGTTTGCCGCAGCTGAGCGAAAATTTGATGATAGAGATCTGACCTTCATTTTGGACCATTGGGAAAATACTTTCCTAAACAACAAAGCTCTGGAATATTTGTCCATTTGTAGAAACCTCCAAGAACTAAGCATACGTTACTCGGATGAATCAGCAGTTACCGACGAAGGAATTATTGCTCTTTCACGGGGATGTGTTCAACTGAAGAAGGTTGATTTTGAGGGATGTTTAGGAATCACAGACTATGGAATCATGGAACTGTCTCGGCATTGCCACGGGCTTTGCTTTGTCAATCTTTGTCACTGTCGTCATGTTACAGGATTTGGATTTAGTTGTTTGGTTATGAATTGTTTAAGAATTCAGGAAGTTCAGATGTACAGTTGTCCATTTGTTGAGAAAGTTGTTCTTTGTAATAGTCAACGTTTTCCGGAAATTCCAATCTCTACTCTGCATCAAAATATTGCAGCAGAGGACAATAAATGTGATTGTTATGAAGCCTTCAGATCTGGGAAAACATACAGCGAATCAAAGTGCTGTCCTAGAGTTATTCAAGGTCAAAACGAAATCAAAATTATGTACGGGTTAACAGATGAAATGGTCAAGCAAAAGAGTCAAAGAAATGGAAATTTAGAAAATCAAACCACATCGCAATCAAACATTCTAGATGACTGCAATGTATTGAAAGCCTGCAAAACAATTGATCTATTGCAAATTCCATTCGACCATTCCTGGATACAAAATCTAGATTTGTCCGCATGTAAGAGAATTTGTGATTCTGATATTTTAAAGCTTTGCAAATATTGTCCAGAAATAAGAAACCTCAATCTAACAGACAACAACAAATTATCTGATACGAGCATCATTGCTCTGGCCAGACACCTAACATTGCTGAAGGAATTGGACTTGGAAGGTATCACAAAGTTGACGAACGCTTCCTTGGCTTGTCTGGTGGAAAGGAGTTTGGAGTTTCTCTCATTATCTGCTTGTCCAAAAATGTCAATCATAGCTTTAAAACAATTTCTTGTGTCTAGCAAAAACTTGCAAAAAGTGAAGCTCCTTCTCAAAAAGGATGATCTTTCCGTGGAGCTGAGGCGAGATACAATTAGAACTATGCTTTCCGAAGAAGACTGTGGATTTGTCATGGATCCTGATGAATTTTCTTATTATGCTACACTTGAATCTAAAAACAGCAAATATGACTAACATTAAATGAGACATGAAATCTTTGATATCGATTTTACAAATCATGAAATTAAAAAAGACTGAAGATCTTCATTCAAATTCCTCTCTTAAAAATCATTGTTACCCTGGTGAATGGTAATAAATTCAGACAACTTAAAGTAGTGATCGCAATTTATCCTTGGATCATGAATTGTTATAACGTTGTTACGTACTTCTATAATTTTCAGATCCTTGTATGGGGATATTTAATTGGATAGCTATATATTTGCTTCAACCAGTTAGGCATTGGTTTCATGTACTCTTAAAAATCCTTGTCTTTATGTTTGGCAATCGTTCACTTTTAAAAAAAGTATTTCCATCCTTCTGTGACGTCATAGGTTTTTGTAAAAAATTTCAAATAAGATTAAACTTCTTGCATTTTGGAAATCTATATTTTGTAAAGGTACTATTCAAATCCAAGAAGCGAAATAAAATATGCTGAAATATTTCCTTTATTGTTTATTTTCATTGAATAATTTGTTTTTGTTTCCTCAATTTAATTAGAATTAGGTCTTTCAAATCCGCTATCTTTTTTGAGATTGTTATTGCCACTGCTCTCACAAAAGCGATGGGACATTAAACCTCATTCGACTTTATCTGTAAGTCTGACACTGAGAAGGTATAATGCTTTCATACTTCACATGTACATTAACTGTGACAACACCTTATCAAATATGCTATAACTTGGGTAGATAAATTATTATGCTGTACGGATTAGGGAAAAGACAAGCAAAATTCGCATTTTTATCCAAAAAGTGGAAATCTTTGGGTTTATGTATCGTGAAAGCGTAAACTTTCCCAACCCAGGTTATACCGTATAACTTGGGTAGTTATCTTCAAAACCATCGCAAATGTTACCATCGAATATTACGATTTACGATATAAAAACAGTCGATGATTTTTTATACATTGACGAATCATTTTCAGATATTTCACTGAAAAAGATTAACAACGTTTTTAATGATAAAGGTGATAGCATTAACTTTTCAAACGTCGCTTCCCTTACTTAGGCAGCAATATACGCTTATCACCATCTTGGCTAGCCAAGGGTTTCTGGTATGCTACTCTCCTCATGAGGGTTATCAGATACGGGTATAATAGCTGTAGCCAGACATCTAACACTACTGAAGGTTTTGGACTTAGAAGGTATTGAAAACTTGACAAATGCTTCTTTGAATTGTCTTCTTGAACGGAGTTTGGAGTTTTTTCTCCTTTCCCTCTTATTCACAAGTCTCAGTCACTGTTTTAAGAAAGAAGAAGGTATGGTTTCCATACAAATTTTGCCCTGTGATTTTCTAATGAAACTGGTGTAAAAGTTGAAAACTCATGCTTTTTAAATAATTGAAATTCAATGCAGAAAAATCATACAAGTCATTTTTCTCACATGTGTTTTTAAAGCTAATTATGACGTCATAAACATGTGCATTTTCCCGTATTTTCTTAAAAAGTTGCAGAAGACACCAATTTTCAATGGAATTTTCTTTCAGATAACATGGTCCACAGGCATCGCCCACAAAGATCTTGAGATATGTGATTTGTTATTGAATTTTGCACAAAATATCAAAAAAGTAACGTGGGCGACGGCTGAGGACACAGTTTTCTAAAGGAAAATCACCCTTGAAATGTGCCATTTTGAGGCTTTTTCTGTTGAAAATAGAGAAATACTTCACATTAATGACGTCATATTTGCAGAATGGTAAACCTTCATGCCATATTCTTTCCTGATTTATCAGAGTAATTTGTTTAACTAATATTTAAGCCAGTTTCAAAACTTTTTGATGTCATTACATTTTTAGGGCGCAATAAAGCTAAAACCATACCTTCTTCTTTTCTTTTGTCTAGCAAGAATTTTAAAGAACTGGACATTTCCGCAAAGCTGAGGCCAGGTTTAATCAGAAGTATGCCTTCCGAGGAAGACTGTGGATTTTTCATGACTCTTGGTGAATTGTCGTCTTACGTTACCATTGCATCTAAATGTAGAAAATATGACTAATCATTCTTTTAAGCATTGAAAGATTTGTAACAATTCTACTTATTAAAGGATTGAGTAATCATTTCTGACAACTTATGAACCATTGTATTAGTGTTGCCATGGTAACTCATAGTGATAATTTAAATACTAGCAAGCCACTTATTATCCTATTGGTCTTTGACCTGTCATTCATTTGTGCACTTCTCAGATCCTTAAAGAAGGTACTTAGTATTTGATTCAAAAACGAAAAGTAGGATTTTTTAAATAAAAAAATTAGTTCTTGAAGGTGCAAATATTTTGACAATCAAAATCGCACTAAATTTGTTTTTTTTGTGTGTGTGTGTTATTTTCAGATTAAAAAAGATTCTATTAGGTTTTTTTAAAAAAAAAATACATGTATATCAGACTGAAAATGTATTGGTAATATGTAAACCATGGATGCCTTTCAACTGCCGCTAGGGTTTGCTGTAATGAACGATAACATCGTTGCTGAAACTTGTTTCGAGCATGTCCGGGGTATTGAACTGTTTATACACAAGTCGGTTTTTACCATTTCCCAAGTGTTTCTTTGCTAAGAGTAGAATCCATTGATTTTAAAAGTTAGCTCTAATTTTAAACTCATTTACTATATAGTTGCGGATACCGTTTAGTTACATACAAATAAAATTTTTAATAAAAATAAAAAGTGAAGTCTATCTTCCTTCTAAGTTCTAACCTAATTTAATGTTATACTCGTACTTCTTCGTGCTTAGTAACACAAATAAGATAATCAATTGTTGCATTTACTTGTAAAAATATATATGTTTATATAGGAAGCGCAAAAGTGCGCACACAAAAAACATGACATTATATTTTCTTCTTCATAACAATCGTCAAAGAGAGTTAAAAATGTTGAATATATAGTCTGTTCCCCATTCATTTGACCCTGTTATTTCAGGTAGAGTGAAGACATTTTCCTTCTTCTGGTCAACAATTTTGTGTACAAAACAATGCAAGGAACCGGTTATCCGTTTGTGTACATAACAGCATCAATACTGAAGCAGCCCATATGTCATTCCTATAAACGATAACTCATAAATCGGGACTTAGTTGGTCATTTTTCACATCTGAGTTACCTGTCCTTTAAACACAACATCGAAGAAGTCGACTACA